CTTGGGGGCAAGCTTGGGGGCAAGCTTGGGGGCAAGCTTGGGGGCAAGCTTGGGGGCAAGCTTGGGGGCAAGCTTGGGGGCAAGCTTGGGGGCAATGTTGGTGCTAGTGTTGGCGCAGTGCCCGTACCAATTTCGATTGTCGCATCGTTTCCAGAAAGTGAAATGTAGTTAATGTAGACGCTGTCTGAGTCCATGAAGTTTTCGATTGTATAGGATTGCCCAACATCAAGATCGGCAACTGCCCAGCTCACACCCCATGCAGCCGGTCCACCAGCTTTCTGCACAATCGTCACTTTGTTTTGTGCTCTAGTAGTGCCGGAGTTGATGCCCACTGCGTCATTATATCCAATGTAGTAATCGTTACCTCCGCTGTCACCGTACTCAACAAGACGCATAGTGACAATCTTGTCCGGGGCACTCCCGTCTGTCTTGTACCAATTAACGCCGTTCAAGACAAATGTCTGGCGATTGTTTGGGAGAGAAAGTGGATTGACTTCCGCACTTTGATTGTCGTACCATCCCAATTGATAATTTTTGGCAGCATTGAAACATTGGCGAGGATAATCATCTGAGGGATTGGAATATCCCATCATTCCAGAAGTATCAGCATACCAATTGTCTCCCATACCACTGTGAGCCAAACCCAGGTTGTGACCTACTTCATGCACCACAACAGACATAGACTTGCACATTCCGTCGTTGTAAAACGATTGGTAACCATTCGAGAAGGCATATGCAATCCATCGTCCCGATCCGGGAGGAAAACAGTAAATAACGAGATCAAAACTGCTGGCATCATACATTTGTTGTGCTGTAAAAATAATATCCTTTTCAATCACAGTTTGACGTGAAGATGCGACTGTGCTTTGAATACTGATATCCACTACGCCACCTGTACCAATGTTAGCTGGTTGGATGGTCATCTGATTATGAGAACATTCTTCGTATCGGGACTTCAAACACTCAGAATCTAGAAAGATGTCGGACTCTAACTCAGCAAGAGTAGCCGTAGGTGATACGCCATCACCATCTGTGGCACGAATTACCAAAACGGTCTTCGGGCCGAGAGATGAGGCGAGTCGACGCCGTTTCCTTGAGTCGCTTTCCGACATCTCTTCAATGATTATCGACGTCTCTCTCGGAACCACAATTTTTGTTTCGAAATTGGACGAAGACATCTCAACGTAAGCGCCTTCGGCCTTCATGATAAAGTTTCCTGATAAGGGTTTCGCCGTCTCGATAGATTCTTGAGAAATTCCCTCAAAGTCACAGATCATCGGGCTAATTCCAAGCGACTCGGCTGCGTCTTGTGGGATTTCGCAACACCATGTTTCCTCGTCGTGATCTGGAAATTCCATCTCCCTCAAGTATAGAACAAAAGAATCATCCGATCGCATGTACCAACGACGTCGTTTGACTATGCTAGCACCTTCTCCTCTGACGAGAGGATTAGCAGTAGCAAACAGTCTCCAGTCTCCCGCAACGATTGCGGCGGCAAGGATGCCTATTGCGTTGAATTTTACCATCGAACGGAATGCGTACATTCTGGTTGTTTTAAGAGTCCCCATCGTTTACTCCCAGGGTATAAGTGAATGGGCTTCTGGGTTACTTTTTTACGACGGTTGTTTATTTTCTCCAATTTGAGTTTGTGATTTTTCTATTCCAACGGAAGGTAAAGTGTTGTTTTGTCACGATCGATGAAAGCGGAAGCAATGAAAAGGCCCTACCGGTATCGCTGTTGCAACACAGATTGGAAATCCATTATGGTCGAAAATATATGGAGGAAAATATTTTCACACCACCAATGGTGAAATCAACAAAAGCCTGAGAAATATCAGAATCTTGGTAGGTCTCTAATCATTCCAAAAATTATATGCTAAAATCATTCCAAAAACATATGCCTTAATTGTCAGGATCTGAGAGAATGTTTCTAATTGAATAATAATATGTCACAATGACATTTTTATTCAAATCATAGGCCTAAAAAATATAGTAATGTTTTTTGTTTAGGTTAATCCAAAATGTATCGCCGAAAGGCAATACGGTACTGGTTTTCTTACAGCCCTCGAAGGGAATCATCGCCAACAGATTGTTCCTATGAAAAATCTTGTGGTCGTAAAATTAGTGAACGAAGAGATTCGAAGGATGAAAGACGATACGGTACTGGTTGTTTTACAGCCCTAATGATCGCCAATAATACCGGTACGTTGATTCCTATGAAAAAGTTCGTGGTCACAAAAATTGTGTACCAAAAGACTCAACGGATGCACGAAGAAACAACTATGCAGGAATATTGATCCAGTGTAACATAGGTTTACTGGTGGTATCTCGACCAGAACTAAAACATCCATGACCAAAGTGAGAAGACCAGTGGTGTGTATCTTGAATTGTGAGTAGTAGTGAAAATTCTACTACTAGTAGTAGTAGCTACTAGTAGTAATTCCTCTTGTGTCACAAAATGAAAGTCCCCTGACAACAAACTTCTTGTTACTACGTCACAGTACTAGTAGTAGTAGTACTAGTAGTACTAGTAGTA